GTACAGTGAAATATCCTTCCGTACCTCTAATGAATGCGCCCACCCACACTGGAGCTGGTGCCCCCTAAGAACTCAATTCAAGAACAACTTTTTTAATTTCTACATGAAATCAAAGGGCTCATTCTACGAGCCAAAGAACTCACAATTTTAGGCGGGACAGTTAATGGGTGGCTACCCCAGGTTGTCCCCTTGGTTTGCAGTACACAGTCTCGCAAGTAAAAATAATAAGCAGGATGCTGACTATGTACACAACATTCCAATTAATTAGATTTCATCCTCCTCCAATGAATGCATAAATTGTTGCTTCCCTGGTGACTGTACAGAGCATGAGTGACTTGCTCAGCATCAACCAGAGGAACCAAAGTAAACACACAAGACCTCAGTTTGCTTTCCTGTGCTCAGACAAGACCTCCTTCTTGATATTAAACAATCACTAAGCAACCAAAAACTCTCAAATTGGCCATGAAAACTTGAGCAAGAGAACCCAGGAAATAATTTTCAAGACTACTGCACTGAACCCTTCCCAAGGACTCCTGTTCATGTGTGAATGAGCACTTGTCATTTCAGGCACAAGGGGTGAAGCCTGGTGACAGCAGCCAGAGAACTGAATAATCCAGTGGTGCTACTGAGACACAGATCTAATCCCACAATGAGGAGATGACTCCTTCAAACAGGCCTGTTATAAAATTATCAAGTGGCACAGGGGGTGGAAGGAATCAAGTTCTGATTGAACTGACTTGAAATAATAAATGCACACATTTTCTTTAAACACAGCTTGCCACATCCTGAGAATCTGGAACCAATTCCTTCCCTTTCAAGAAGCTTAAAAGTGGTGGGACTTTGATATGGCATGAGCATGTTTGCTTCTGGGCTTACAGCCCTCACCAGCCCTTTCCAAAACTTTCAACGTTTTTATATTATAAGACAGAAAAGTTAGGAAAACAAAGATGGAAAAAAAGAATCAGAAGTTCAGGGAACTATTAAATCAGGGCAGCCTTGCTGCCAAATACCTTTGGTAAGTAAATGAATCATGATCAATAACATATTGCCATGCAGACTTACAGGGGAAGGTTATCACCTGCTTCTGTGCCAGGCATAAAACATAACGGTGTGTGGCTAATGAAGTACTGCATGAATCCAGGAGAAAAAAAAAATCACCATTTTTCTCTGTAATGTTAAAGCATTTTTACTTCAAAGTAAATTTAACTCATCCAGAAAAAACATAATTTTTCCATGAAAACTTTGTCAAAATTGATAGGTTACTATGAAACACTTTTCTTTTGACAATGTTACATTTTTAAGAGGAAACCGTCTTGACAGAAAGAACCCTGTTTTGTTTAGGGGATGTTTCCGCCCTGATTGCAAAGCTGCTTGTGCAAGGCTGCTTTATACATTCATATATTTACCAGCAGAGGGTGTCACAATCTTAGAAACAAACCTACAAGTGTATCCTTGCATCTGTTCGTTCACATACGAGGACTCAGACACACACCAAAACAAGGATTTTCCAATCTCTTATTGGCCTCACTGACTTTTCACTATTGGGGGAAAAAGCATCATTTATCTGTGTAAGAGCTGTGTTATCAGTGCCATCTGGCCTGTGCTCTCAGGTCACTGCAGTGACACAGCCAGCACTGGCATCACTTGAAGTGGAGCATTTCTCCATGGCCTGGCTGCAAACTCTGCTAAGAGGGACAGCAGCTTGGGCTTTTCTTCGGTGCACATTAGATTCCCATCAATTCTCACATTCAGTGCCCTCACACTGCATAAATATCATTAATTATCCCAACCACTTTGTGCCACTTTTCTGCAGAGATGTAGCAGCCCCAGGCTGGGGTGAGAGCTCACGTTGCACACAGCAGTACCCCACAAGGAATGGTCACACTTAATCACACCTAACCCACACTTCTCACAGACAGAGACAGGCTGATGCCACAAATTCCCAGCCTGATATCCCACACGTTACTGAATTCACATCCCGGGCTCCTGAGTTAAGAGAACTTACTTTAAAGAACTTGATGCTTGGTGCTTTAGCCACCTTGCTCTCCTGTTCCCAGCCCCCACCTCTATTTCCAATTAAAATAAATGAAAATTATTGTTTATATAATGATCTTGGTTCCATAATCTATTTTTCATTTACTAACAACTCTTTTCCTATCTGTGTTTTGATCACGTGCAACTGATGTTCCAGTCACTGGTGTGGCTTTCCAGATTAACCCAAGCACTGGAACAGCTAGAAATGGATACAGAGGATGACTATGAGACATACATTACCTTTACCTCACAGCTGGGACCTACAGAAACCATTTATGATAACCACAAGCGGCAATCTCTGCTCTATTTGGATCTCACCTGCTCATGTGGAGACAGGGGAAAGGGACTTCACCTAAGTAATTACATTTTATGTTTATAAAATGCTTTTTTTTCAGTCACAGAACTATATATAACTACTTCTGCTGTTACAGAGGAAAAATAGAAATATGTTAATATAATACAATATAATAATATACAAATATAATATTAAAATATATACAAATGAATATGTAAAATTTATTTAACATATAAATACAATAGACTACAATATTAATACAATATAAAAACTATTTACTTCAGTAGAAAGTTTCAAGCTGTACTAGGGGAAGGCCAGGCTGGACATCAAGAAGAATTTAGTCACTGAAAGGGTTGTTAAGCATTGGAATGGGCTTTCCAGGGAGGTGGTAGAGCCACCAACCTGGAAGTATTCAAGAATTGAGTGGATATGGCACTCAGTGATATGGTTTAATTGACAGGGTCGTGATCAAAGGTTGGACTTAATGTTTTCAAGGTATTTTCCAGCTTTTAGGATTCTGTGATTCCATTCTATTATTTTGAATAATGCAGCAGGACCTGTTGTAAAATTGTATCTACCAGATCTGGGCTAGAGCCCCAGATCCCTTTTGAATCAGTGTTGCAATTTTATAAGAATTTGTGAAATACCAATCAAAAATAAATAAGTTGATTAGGAAACATGTACATGGTGTTGCTCTCCTTTCTTCTTTGCACACAATCCTTTCACTGCTCCAGAAATTTAACACAACTACTTTTTGACTAACTCATTCTCCTCCATCCAAATCAGCCTTCAGAAAAACTGCTGTTGTTCAGATGAACTGGACAGAAAGTGAATAAAACATCCTTGGGATTAGGGAGAAACTGTTTTTCCTTAGCCCTTGAAAACTGACAGTCAATTACTCTGCTGAAATTGAGGTCTGTACTGACCATTCCAGGGACCTTACTTCATTGATAGAAAGAACATAGTTATAGATCCAGTTAGAAAGATAGAAACATAGAAAGATCCAGTTCTACTCTGCCCATCTCTCTTTATTCTACTTGCAGTGCAGCACTCCAGCTGTAATAAAATTAAGCTAAAAGTTTTTCTCTACTTTGAAGAGGAAAGTTAAGCATCAGTACATTCAGAGACTGCAGTGTCTGGATAAGACAGGAGCAGGAACCAGGTAACAAAAATTGAGTGAGGATGTTTGCAGGGAGGAAAGATTGTGTCTCTCCTGCAGCTTAACAGCTCTTGTCTCTAAAACTTTGGTGTGCTTAATTGTCATTTACATGAGTACCTAAACCAAGAGTTTGTTATGCAGAACTAGGTAAAGGTCTCTTTGATCATACTGCAACTTCTGAAAATGTGGAGTGCTGTGCGGGTTTAGATTCCTTATCTCACCATAGTGGGAATCAGACCTTGAATTCCAGCTCTGCTTATGGTCACATGCAGACTCCTCTAGGACAACCATTTACTCCTGGCTGGAGATGCCAGCCCTTGTGAGCCCAGGGATTTGACTATTGCAGTCACTGAGAAAGAAGAGTTGAGACTGTGCATGTGGGGCAGCACAGCTGAAGATTTAGAATTGCACAGCAGACCGTAAAACTTCCTTGTAAATGGCCAAGATATTGAAGCACTGTAATTATTTCCTTCTGTTAACAACACAAAAATATTACAGAGGAGATTGTTATCTGACATAAATCATCATCTACCCACTTTTATCTCATGGGTCAGCCCCAGGCAATGAAATATAATTGCACAGATGAAATGTGTGGCAGAGCTGGAACCTGCAAAATCTAGTGTTTTCTGAATGATACGATATAAATCCATGGTATTCAACATGCCTTAGGTCTCTGTCTGTGAAAGCAGTAACATAAGGGAGAAGGTACATCAGTGAATGACTAGAAATATTCTACTAGGTCATCTCAGGGGATAGGGATGTGTAAATCCACAGCTTTATGGAGCAAGAGGAGCTCAGACTCGCTGAAGTCTTGTGTCTCCGATGGGAAAGGAATGTGGAAAAGAACAGCAATTTTATTAAGACAGTGTGGGATGCATATAAATATGAATGGCATCTGGCTTCTAGGGGACTCTTTCTTTTCATAAACAAATTTGAAGGAAAATCTGGAGCTTACAGAATGTAATTACATTTCTTAAATTCACTTCTTTCTTTTAATTACTTTATATGGAATATCTCAATGTAACTCCATTTATATGAGCAAATTAGCTATAACAGCGTAACATAATCATAAAATAAGAGGGCCAAGAGCCTGATGGCAACATCTAATAAAGCCTGAGTTGCTCTCACAGGTTTGGGTCCAGCCAACACACACTCATCTAGGTAGAGCTGGGGGAGAGAAGGAGGTAGCACAGGCCACCAGTGTCTTCCAGTAAGCAGCTGGGGATCCTGTTCTGGCGAGGAAAGTGGGCTATGGACAGGAGTCGTGCCATGGCTGTTGGTAAAGAGGCTACCAAACACTCTGTGGCTCTTTTATTTACTACTATAGATGTAGTTAATTCAACTGTGGAGACACGTGAGTTGAGTCCACCTAACCAACCACCTCAGGCTGATCAGCAGCTGTACCTGATGTCATCTCAACAAATTTTACAACAAAATGATGAGAGAATGGCAAAATTCTTCCACTTCTAAGCACACAAACTCCCTGGCACATTCAGCAATGGCCACACTCACCAGCATTATCCTGCTGCTTGGTGTTTTTGATGTATGCAGAAAATTTGGAGAAGATATCGATTCCAGCAGTGTTTGACTCCCGGTGCTTAGCAGCCAGCTTTGGGTACCTGGACAGGCAAAAGCAGTGAGGAGAGTAACATCTTGCTACCAGCATCATAGTGCTGGCTACAAATATAACTTACAAGAGAGAAAAACCTCCTGTGTGAAGAACTGTAATTAACACTCATCTCAAAACAACACCTTGAAAATACCCCCTTACACCTTGAAAATACACCTTGAAAGACCCCTTAACAGTATCTGCTCTCTGTCTGTCAAGGCAGGCATGTGGGGAGCTACACAGGGATAGTGTCAAGACAAAGGTAATTGGACTTGTGCTTTGTGCAACCACAGTCCAAAATCAGCCTCAAATCAGAAGGAAGCATATATTTCCAGAAAGGTGCAGGGGAGTTTGGCAGGCAGATCTCTCCATTAAGAATGGCAGTCATGTCTAATCCTCTACTCTGGAAATGTACTCCAGGATGGAATAGCATGGGGTATTAGGATTAACCCAGTGAAGGAACATAAATGTTCCAGTCTCTGCATTGCTTTTTATAGATATTTGGTGAAAAGGGATATATTGATTTGAAAGATAAACACAAACTAATGACTCCTACTGACTTCAGTGGTCTTGGAGCAGACTACAGAAAATTTAAATGCCTGATCTCTTGCCTCAGGACTGGCCTTTAGCTGCTGATTCACTTGGAGGTAAAATTCTCCATAAGGAACCAAGCCAAATTTGATGGATTCATAGATTCTAAGATCCAACTCACAGGCCAACTATTTCTTTTTTTTCCGTTATCCTTGTATTAAGTCCAAAATGTTTGACTAAGGAAGGCATATCTGGTAAATCTAAACCTTTCATTGGTAGCTTTTTCATACTGAAAAAATCTGGGCCTTATTTCTAATTTGAATTAGTTTAGTTATAACTTCCAGTTATGGGCTCTTGTCATTTCTTGACTAGAGTAATGAGCACTTTTCTGCTTCCAGAGCCTCTCTTGTCCTCTGTAATCAGTTTCCCTTCCAACCTTCCTAACACACCATACAGCTCAGAATCCTCTATTTTTTCACTGTAAAATGCTTTTCCTGGCACAGATATTTTGTGTGGCAATTCTTAGCATCTATTCCAAGTTATTTTTAGCTTTGCAAAATGTGGCCACCAGACCCCTACAATTTTTTTCTAACTCTGGTCTCCTTAATTCTGCATACAAGGGCATCCTGAAATGTGTACAGAGAAAACATTCTGCAGTTATTAGTCACATAAGTAACCTTCACACATGGAAGTCATCTCACTGAAGCCAGCAAGTTTCATAAATAAATATTACTCCTGTAAGTAAAGGTTGTAGGAAGGAGTGCTTTTTAGGAACTCTTCTTAGGACATCTTTCATTCCTAGGAAATGGAATATTGACTGAAAAAAAATCTGAAGGTCTTACTTTGGAGGTGCAAGAGTCTCTTCCAAGAATTCCTCAATCTTGTTAACATCTGTCTTGACTTCTCCATTAAATGTCAGGAAAGGTGGGTGGGTCCCAGGAGCCAGATTGTGCAGGTCAGCTGGCTTTCTGCAAGCAGAGAAAAAGTCATGAAATCACTAATCTTTATGGTTGGGTAGTTGCACAGATATTTATAGTTCCTACAAAATCAGTCTGCCTTTTTTTTTTTTCTCTCCTGTAATTTGTGGTTGGAAGACTTTGAAACTACCCCAAGCACCCTGTTTAATATAAAAACATTCCACAAGTGAGGGGAAAAAAAAAAAAACAACAACCAAACCTGAATCCAAACTATTTTGTTGTGCACCACAGGCTCTCTAGGCCAGATAAAAATCAGATTTAACTTGGAGGGGGTCTTTCTATAGTGCATACACTGGGTCATACACCTATATGAACAATTTTTACCTTTTCAGGTCAACAGTGGTGACATTGAATACAACTCCTTTGAGCCACAAGATCATGAAGAGACGCTGGGAGAATGGGCAGTTCCCAATGCTTTCTCCATCTATACCGGCCTGGGGAACAGAAAGAGAGAAAAATGGATTTCAGATTTGTCACTCATTTACCTCCCTCAACGCGGAAAATTGGATGGTGAAAGAAAAACAAGCATTTTAAAAATAACCAGCAGTGCTTTTTATTTAATATAGTTTATCATCAACACAAGAATGGACTTCCTTCAGGATTCAGCCTTTGTCAGGAGCTCAAGGATGAAACATGGAGCCTCTCCTGAGGACATCTCTAAGGAGATGTGTCCCTTGCTGATGGCAAGAAACATCCAGGGTGTTCTTTCAACTGCTCTCATCCCTACAGAACCGCCTGCCTCATGGACAGGGTGGACACATTCAGGACATGATTTCTGCTTTATTTAAGTCTGTAGACTGCAGTTTATATCAGATATATATTGATATATCAATATCTGCTTCACTATTTTACTATCTAAAATGTGTACTATAGAGCTAAACCCAAAAACTCTGGACATTGACTCATTCTTGTTGACATCAACGACTGCCTCAGACACAAACAGCCAAGTCCAGACAGAAATCTCTATCTGAGTTCTTCCAAGGTTCAAGGTAGGTTTCAACCACCACATTCAGTCTGTTCCTATCTCTAGTATCTAATGAGTTGCCTACAAACCACTACACAACAATACAAAATTGCTAGTGTTAGCATTGAGGAACAGCCTATGCTTTCCTCTAAAAATTTATGGCCCTTAGCCATTCAAATTCTAACTATGAGCCATGGAAGGATACAAATAACAGCTGAACTGTGCCAAAGCTTTGGCCAAGGACAACATCCTTCTACAATGATTATGCTTGTGGCCAAGGCTTTCAGGATGATAATTGTTTTGATAGATTTCCATTTTAATTTGTGGTACCATTGTGTTTAAAAGATTCTTATAATCCTGGTGAAGCAACCAACCTTCCGTTGTTGACCCACATGGATTGCATAACTGTATTTTAAACACAGTGTGTGTCCAAAAATGGCTGATGAAAGAGCTAAGCAAATAAATGCCCTTTTCCTTTGGAGACAATATTATATTACTCTGTTGGCTCTCATAAATTTTCTCTTATTAATATTCAAGCTGTGAGGTAGCATTTCTCGGTCTTAAAGAACGAATCCCTTCTAATTATTGCAGCTCTGTGAAACATCCCCAGCACAACTAGAAACATTTTTGAGACACGTCCAGTTGGTAGAAATTTAGCCTTGCCTGTGAAATGTTCAGCCAAAAGATTTTTTGGTGGACATCAAGAATCTTTCTCATGTCTTGAATGCAACTTTTGATGATTCTGGGTTTCAAAACAAATTCCACATTTCCTGTCACCAAACTAGGGGGAGAGTGTGAATTCAAGGCTTAGAGACAACCAGTCACAAAGTTCAGAGCTGTGTAAAGAGTTTTGATCTGGATTCAGATTCAGTTTCAAGCACTCAGACTCTAGAGGTACCTGGATATATGGGGGAACAGTCTGGCTGAAGTTTTACTTGAAATTATGGATCTGCAGTATGTCTGGCACATGTTATATGCAAGGATCAGCAAACCACGTGGGTGAAAGAATGTAGGACACGAGGATGAGCAAGAGAGGATGCATTTCCCATCTACCTGAGGTGTGAGTAGCCTGGTTTTGCAAAATTACATTAATTTAAGCATTAGCTCTGTTCTGCAAATTTCATGGCAAAGCAATAATGTCACCATGGGAACTCCAGGCACCACCATAATGCATGCCATAATTACTGCAAAGTCACATTTTCTGATTTGGATTTAGCTTGTTAAACCATTGCCAGGAGCTTTTGACTTCTTACCCTTCCCGAAAAGAGGCAAATGCTATGGGAGAAAACAGAGATATGACACCAAACTTCCCCTTGATTTTTTCACCATCTTAGTCATCACAATTTAATCTTTTTCAGGAAAGACACAGGAACACAATTTCCCTGCTCTTTCTGTTTGTTTATTCTCATGCAAAGATTAAGGGTTACCCAGACCTGCATCTTCTTATATGTTCTCTGTCCTTCAAGGGAATGGTGAAAAACCATCTCCAGACCAAAGGGCTAAAAATGGAACAGAGCAGCTGAATCACACAATCACTGAATCAGCTGAATCACAGAATGACAGAATCCTCTGAGTTGGACGGGACCCACAAGGATCATTGAGTCCAGCTCTTAGCAAAGGACATCCCCAAGAGTTTCACCATGTGCCTGGAAGAATGAGAATGACAAGGAAGAAACAGAAGTGATGGATTGTGTGGGGCTAAAGGATGCAGAAATCATAGGGAAAAGGAAGAAGATGTGAAATCTCGAAGAAATAAGATTGACCTGGTGATCAAAAATAAAATTGTGTAGATCAAACGAGGCCTCCAACTGTCCCAAATGGTCAAAATTCCTTTTCAACACTTCCAAAGCAATGGGAAACATTTATTGCTAGAGACACATTGGGAATAGGCAGAGGAAATTCCAAAAAGAAGATAAACTAAAGAAAAAGTGCAGTATGATCGATATGATCTCTGTTCAAAGCTCTGGGATCTGGAAGCCAGGCTCATGATTTGGGTGGAGACTGACTCATAGGTTTTGATCTCATGTGACTGGCATAACTGAAAATGCTACCACAAATCACAAGGCAAACTGGTGACAGAGGAGGGAACAGAATCAAAATCTCCCCAGCAACACAATTTATCCATTATATTCAGCTCCTTTTCTGTGGAAATTATAGGCAAGGCTCTGTTGGGTTTGTGAATCCTTTCTCATTGCTTCTAACAGCAGTCAGTAATTCAATGTTCAGCACTCAGAAAGAGCAAAACCTTAGTAGGTAACAACTTCAAAGGCTTATCAGAGTATTTTGAGATCCCTTGTGAAGTCTATTAACTACCAGGAGGAGATGAGAAAGAAAACTTCTCAGGCTTAGTCACTCTGAGCTTCAAAGAAAAACAGCTTTCTTAAAGCACCCCAGTAGTGCATAAATACAAACTTGTAACATATTTGTCAAAGGGTAAGGGCTCAGAAAGGCAGGAATTAAATAATACCTTCATCAAGAACTCAAGTGGTGGATGGAAAGAAATGAACAAATAATTGACAAGCTGGAGAACCACCATTTATCCCTGCTGCTTTTCACAAAAGCTTTCTCATGCAGCTTCCCTGAAACACAGTAAAAGTGATGAAGCACTTATGAAACGGATCAAGTTGGTGACATATGCACTCTCCCTGCCAGTAATATTGGATATTTCTGATATAATGACTGCAAGTAGGGACACTACTGACAATTCTGAATAAAATACTGCAGCTAGGGACAGGCATGAGGCTTTGTGGGCACTAAGATAAAGGAGATAGAGTTGTTAAAGTGCACTCCCAGCTGAGAAGAACCTCACCTGAAAAGGCAAATCCCCATAGTGACCATGGAAAGGTATAATAGATTTGAGGATTTGCTGGGTGAGACTCTTTGGCCAATCACTACTCACTTAGTGTGTGCTCACTACTCCCTACTTTAACTTAGGAGGGAAGGGACCAAGGGAAGGCCTCCTGTGTGGGCAAGGCCAAGATTCACATCTGAAAGATTAATCTGTCCACCCTTCACTTCGACTGAATCCACTGAGTGTCTTAGTTTTAAGTGAGATGGATGTGGACCCCAGCAATAGAAAAGTCTGGAGTTTGTGGAGACAGAATTTCTAGACACGTTTCTCCATCTTGGAAACAACACTTTCTGTTCACATTGCTTCCTACAAACATAAGTTTATTCGTTTACCTACTCAAAAAGCATGCTTTTCTGTTTAGTCTCCAGCTGCATTTGTCCTTCACACCAAGCAATGCAAGGTCCTGCCCTGGAACTCAGTATAATCACATCAGGAAAAGCCTACTGTCAGACCAGCTGCTTCCCTCTATCTGAGAAATGGCAAGAATGAACAACATGTTCTCCTCTATTAATTATAAGGTGCTCCTCCTTAAATAGTTTAGCTATTTTTAGTGAATTAATTAAACCTTAATGACATTTGTGTGCATGTGGGGGGGCTGCATGAACACATCATCAATTAACAAAATTTAGGTGGTTTTGGGAAGGAGAAAAAATAGACTCAGTGATTTTATGAACTTGTGTCAAATATTTTTGTGAAGTCATGGCAATATCAAAAGCCTCCAGACCCTGCACAGGACAGCTGAACGAGGTGAACAGGGAGCTCTTCTCAAGTTCAAGCTAATACTTTGCTATAAATTAAATAACTGAAGTAAATTTCCTCACATATTCCAAAAATACTCTAACTGGTACATGCACAGGGACTGCAATACACACAGACAACTGTATATTATTTTAACTAACCTTAAGGGAGAAGAAAAAGACAAGTTCCATTTTTTCCAAAAATACAGAACTTTAAAGAAATATACCATCATAAATAATGACTAAGCATCTAGGTTAAAAATGGCAGCACTGGAAATAATTGCATGTGGCAAAACACTGTGGGTTTTCCAGGCAAATAATGTATTTGGGTTTATCTATCCTCCCCCTCTCCTTTCATTTTTCACTGCACTGAGGTCACTCTGCACGTGGTCCAAGGGTCTGTTAGGTAAAGCAAGGAGATATTTTTGATGACATTAAAACACATTTCTTATTCCAAAGGATTTTAGCAAGTTAACAAAACCAAGCAGGCTAATTCACCTCAATGTTTCCCAGTAAGGATTAAGAAGGGATTTGATTTCATCATCCCTACAATCAAACTCAAGGCTCACATTACACATGGTTACACCCTCTCTGTTTTAAAACTGGGAAAGCTCCTGCCTTTTGACACTTACTCTCCTTACGCTCAGAACCCAAAGGGGAAGTGAAAATCCTATTGGAAACACAAAGCAGGCCAGGAAATATCCTATTTATTATGCTATTAAGAAAAAAAAATCTGTCTTAGTAATTATACCACACACACAATAGCACAAATCTCCATTGTAGGGAAAAAACATGGGTTGCAACATGAGATCAGACATGCCAAGGTATTGCTTTAGTAAGGGTTATTTTTTTTTCCATTTTCTTGTACTTTTTTCTTTCCCA